TAAAGAAACGTTTGTCATGGGCATGGTGGCCGTCTTTCATGCAAGCTGACGACAACAAATGAAGTTTAAAAGCATACTAACTTAAGACGATGCCTTGGTAAATTTTTCCTTAATTGGCGGGTGGTCAGCAAAGCGTGCATTACGGAAATATGCCCAACTTGACCCCAATTTCATGAATATTTGCAAGTGAGTAAGCAAGACAAGGAAGAAGAGCTTGTACCTAGGTGGAACTACTAGACACGCAACACGACTGCTTTGATGCTCATTTGTGTACCTTCTCTCGCGTGCGTCAAGAGCAGAAAAGAGAACTCCGAATTTGGCAACACTACCAATGAAAACGGAAAATTACAGAGTTAAGAGCTTATTTGGGTGACAAAGTGCGTTTAGGGAGGAGCATCTTCATCATGCCACATCTCGCGGTTGTTGTTTGTCAATCAGTCCTTGAAGACCACACATTCCGGCGCAGCTCGATCCTTGTAATTTTTCAACTTCAATGTTGGGTGCACGCGATTGCATGTAGGCTGTTTGATGCACTGATTACGATAACATGAGTGCCCTCTGGGGCATTTGCTGCAGCTGGGCCCGTACTCATATGGCTTTTGCCCAACGTAGTTCCCTCTGTAATGGTCATTATAGCCATCACTACCGCACATAGCCGTGTCGACAGTTACTTTTACAGGCGGATAATGCGGCTAAAACAAACTCACCCAGGGCTGTACTGGCACACAATGAGGTATTGCGGATTGTCCCAGTCGGAGCGAAGACCATCACATTGCCGCATTGCACAACCGACCTTATCAGTAGTTGCCCAAATCATCTGTTTTGGTGCAGAGAAAAGCATGACAAGGCGCACAATCTATCATTTGCCCGTTTGCCCTACTACTGAGTAAGCGGGAATTAGTGATTATCTTCGTTGAATGTGAAACACGCAAAAGTATACACCGTTGTCTCACCTGTGTGTAGTGCCCACAAACCCCGCTGCAGGAGTTGTCCTGGTAATTATATTTTTCTGCTTCTTTCCTCCAACTGCAAAGGCCTTCGGTGAAGGGTGGTTTAACACCACTTATAAGCACGGTGTTTTGAATAAGATCACGATACTGTGGGTGAATTTCCAAGTTTGGAAGGCTAAAATTGCACTCTTTAGCCCACGAATCCGCTAGAGTCTCTAGCTCCTTGGAGTACTCCTAAAAATGATAAAGGGCGCAATACGACCTGGCCATTAACACCATCACCTGGCACCGGGCACAGAGTTAAAGAGCTATATAGGAAACAAGGGACCGAGTTGATTAACGACGCGCACCATCAGAAGCATATCGCTGGCCGGAGGATACACATTTTCACGGGCTTGCAAATGGGCCTCCAGAAGCTGTGCTTGTTCGACTTCAGTGGGCAGTTGGCACGAGGCAATGGCGATGATAGTTATCAACCTGAAGATCCATGTGAAGGGATATGACACTGTAAAAGTCATGCACAATTAATCGTTCGCTTGCACACTGCAGTGCAAATGTTACGAAAGCAAAGCGCATAGCAACTCACCGTTCTTTGTGCTTATCATTGTAGAAGATAAAATAAGAGGTAGCAGCAATCCCGCCCATTTATATGTGAGAAGAAATGTGATGTTACAGGGCAGGACATGATTTGCTGAGACCATTTGTAATAGTATGGCGGATGGCATGATCCCATTATTCATAAACAGTGTCAATTAGCCTGTCTGTCAGATCTGGTGAGCATATTTGCCCTCCATTACACAATGCTAATGCAAGAGGAGAAGTGAAGCCAACATAATGCACAAAGTAAGCAGAGATCGGATTGCCTGATCCACGGACGTTATTGTATCGTAAAGCAAATCATGCACCCTTCAAGTTTCTCAACTCTTTCCTGTTGTTGTTGTTGTTGTTGTTGTTGTTGTTGTTGTTGTT